AAACCCCAAACTTTGCTGATTTTCTGCTTTTTTCTCTTGCAGGGAAACCTGCAGATCCACCAGGTGCACGTGGGCCAGGACGGGCAGGTAGGACCAACACCACATTTAAACCTTTTTMATTTGGGATAATCCCAAATTATAATTATTAATGCCTTTTGAACGAGATCAAGAACTYGTGAAATGCTCAAATGGGAGTGAAATATTTGAAATATTTGGTTCATCATTCCTGGAATGTTCTCCCTGTGATTTTCCCCTCCTTTTTCCTCTCCATGGGTTGGTGACAGGGAGTTCTTGTCTCTCAGCTGTGGCCTCAGATATGAACCCAACATTTATTTCCAGGCTTGAAGCAGTTTTTTGCTTCTTTTTTTTCCCACTTTTTCACTTTTCATTCCGTGCTTACCCTGGGAGAAGCAGCTCTTCCCCATTTCTTTTGCTGCTGTTGAGAAGTTGGGTTGGTGAGGGTTTTGTGGTCAGGAAAAGCTGCTTTTCCTGRGGTTTTGTGGAAGTGGCAGTGTTTTTCTGGCATCTCTGGCCATGGAATGGATGGAATCATTCCAAGATGCAGAAATAATTAGGCTGGAAACCTCGGAGTGCTGGGAAATTTTGGGTTTTTTTCGGTGCTTCCATTTGATTCTGAGGAATTACCAGGAGTTTTCCCATTTGTCTGCTCTGATTTCCTGCCCTTCTTTTTCCTTCCCTCCATTCTTTTCTTCCTGGAGCTGTGAGACACATAAAGAGGTGGAAAAGGGTAATTCCAGCATTTTCCCATTCCTTAATTCTGTTTTTTTAACAATTCCTCATATCCAGTGCTTCTCCAATTTAGGAATTAATTAAAATGGCACCAGGCAAGCAGTATTTGATTAATAACCACGTTCTTAAATGGAAAAGTTGATGTGCTTTAAAATGTGAAATAGGATTGTGTGTTCTCCAGGAGAGCCAGCGATTTGTTCTGCTTCAGGAGTGAAAAATTAGGGAGTGAATTARGATTTAATTCACTGCAGGGGAGTTGGGGGAAGCAGGAGGATCCAGGAGAGGTTTGGCAGGAAAAAAGCCAAAGTGCTTTTGTGGGAAATCTGCAGGATTCCGTCTGATTTTCCAAAAGAAAAGGGAATTTTGTGTGAATTCCATAAAGAAATGTGTCCCAGGTGAGTTTGGAATGCAAGGGGTGCTCTGAGAGAGGGAAAGATCCCATTCCTGCCCATTTTCCTCCTCTGATGAGGGATTTGGATGGAGCAGGAATTGCATTTCCTCAACTTTCCYTTCAATAAATTAACCAAAACTGAATCTATCATCCCAAAACTCAATCTTTTATCCCAAAACTCAATCTATGATCCCAAAACCCAATCTGTCATCCCAAAACTCAGTCTATGATCCCAAAACTCAGTCTGTTATCCCAAAACTCAACATATCATTCCCAAAACTCAACATATCATTCCCAAAACTCAACCTTTTATCCCAAAACTCAACCTTTTATCCCAAAACTCAATCTTTTATCCCCAAACTCAATTTATTATCCAAAATAAAACAAGAACCCATCTTACACAATTTTTAATTTGAATATAATGCGTTTAATTCTGGCTTTAAATCAGCTCAAACCCTTGATTTCAGTTGCTCAATCATTAATTAATCCACTGGAGGAAGTTTTTTCCCTGTCCCTGCTCCAGGAGCAGCAGAGGGCAGCAGCATTAAGTTGATCCTGAGTTTTATTCTGCAGGAATGAGGAGGAAATTTGGGGTGGGAGGAAGGAGCAGCTCCCACAGYRCCTTGGGAAGGGTTTTTTGGTGGGRTCAGGGATGCTCCAGGGGGAATTTCTGTGCTCCTGGTGCTGCTGTGGCATTCCAAAGGTTCCCCCCCATTCTAACAATCTCCTGGAATAACAATCTTGGTTGTTACRAGGAAAAAAATAAAATTAAAAACTCAACACAGCTCAGGTGGAGCTTCAAAACTGCTCAGTTGGCTTGGAGAGAAAGATATTATTTTGAACAGATATTTCTTCAGGAATTGGAGTAAATTGTCCTCAAATCCATAACTTTTTAGGAAGTTTTGTTTGGTTTTATGGAGTGGCAGCACTTCCCAAGTTTTTCCATGGATAACTAAAGGAGGTCCCAAAATGCCAGGCCAAGAAATGAAATAACAGCTCCAAAAATTGAGTTTGTTTCTGATATCTGCAGCTGTTGAAACAGATCCTTCCTTGGCTGGGTTCTGATCCTGGATTAAGTTGGTTTCTTTCAATCACCCTGGAGCAGGGAAAGAGTAAAAAAAAAACTCTGCAAAATCAGCAAAATTTTGGCTTTTTTCCCTCAGTTTTCAAGCAGCCTCCGTGTGATGGGTTAGGACGAGGCAGCATCTCATGGGGCTGTGCTTGTGTGCCTTTAAATGCACAAAAAAACTGATTTCAAAATGAGAGAGGCTGGCAAAAGGGATTTTGGGGTGCTTTGCAAAGGTTTGGATCCAACTGGAATTTCCARATGGGAAAGGAAAAACCAGGGAAGGCAGGAGCAGATTGGGCTGAGATGGGAAGGAAGGGAAGGAAGGAAGGGGTCACTGCTGTGGGGGTGAAAAAAATTCAAAATTTTCATGTGCTGAAGGTCTGGGGGTGGATATTTCTCTGCTGGGGTCTGGTAAAGGGCGTTAATTGGTGTTAATTTGCAGCTCAGGATGAAAATGGGAATGCAGGGAATTGTGGCAGTGAAGCTCACCGAGGTTTTTGGGGGTTGAGGTTCACAAAGGTGTTTTTGCTTTRCCACGAGGCAGAAAAATGAGGATCTTCCTAAAAAATCTCAGTTTGGTATTGAATCCCTCCCCAGTCATGGGATTTTTTTTTGCTCTACTTTTCCATGTGAAGTCCTTGATCCTCTCTTAATTGGGGTAACTTTTATTGGGATAACTTCAATTTTATTGGGGTAACTTTGATTGGGATAACTTGAATGTTATTGGGGTAACTTTGATTGGGATAATTTGAATTTTGTTGGAGTAACTTTTATTGGGATAATTTGAATTTAATTGGGGTAACTTTTATTGGGATAATTTTGTTTAACACTTTGTCTTGTCCAGAAGCTCAGCAGGGAGATAACAAATACAGAAGTTTGCAGTTGCTTTTCAATTCCAAATGAAGCTTTCCCCCATCTATTAATTGTCATTAATTACTCCCCATCAACAACCTCACATTGGTTTGGGGTTTTTTTTTGTCTTTTCTTATCTTTAACCCTGAAGATAGAGATCTCTGCTGCAGCAAAGTCTACAGCAGCAAAATCTTTGATTTTTGGCATTTTTTGGCCCTTTCCCACCTCTCCAACCTCTCATTTTTCTTTTCCTTGCTGATCAAAAGCAGCAAAATGTCCAGAGAGACGGCAAAATCAGCTTTCCTTTTCATATTGACATGAAATAGGAATTTCTTTTCCTCCCTAAAGGACATTTTTTCCATTTGTAAAACATTCTGGCTGCTGGAAAGAATTAACAGAGGCGATTCGTTAATCTGCTSCAGGATTTCTGTGATAGTGCCTTGGTTCACAGAGTCACCTGTGCTCCTTGTAAAACAAGATTTCTTAATGAAGCTTTTGAAAGAGGAGATTTCCTGTAAAATATTTCACTTTTTTCTCCTGATCAGGTGGGGTTTGTTCCATTAAAATTCCGTTTGTGATGCTCTGAGGGTTCTGTTTTCGGAGCCCATTATGTCCTTTATTCACCCAAACCTTGTTTTAATATTGCTGTAAACTTAATAAGGAGAGATGAGATATGAAGTGATAATCTTTGAAATAGAAAAAATCATTTTGTGGCCCAGCTCTGAGCTGGCTCTTATTGGAGCTTTGGGTAATAAAAGGCTTTGCTGGCGGAATGGCCCCGCTCACAAAGCTATCGGGGCCCATCTGCAGCAATCGCTGCCCTTTTGTTTTGTTTGTGTTCCTTTAGCGCCCTTCATTTATGGGTTTTTCTTGTCACGTGGTGCTGGTTCTGTCTGGATGCTCCTCGGGTTTTCCTTGTCCTGTTCCTCTGTCTGAGCTCCAGGGGTGCCATTTGTG